AAGTGCCAGGGATTTAGCTTAGTGGTTCCACCACCTTTCTCACAAGCATAATGACCCAAGTTCTATTCTAGTACCAAAATAAATACATAAATAAATAAAAATAAAAACCCTGCAAAAATTGGAATAGATGGTATTTATCTTAACTTGATAAAGGTTATCTATGAAAAACAAACAGGGAACATCATACTAAATGGTCAAAAATTGAATCCCTTCCACTATTATCAGGAACAAGACAAGGATGTCCACTGTTACCACTCCTGTTCAATACAGTTTTGGAAGCATTAGTCACTGTAATTAGATGACAGAAAAAAATAAATGCAATAAAGATAGGAAAGGAAGATGTTATACTGTCATTATTTGCTGATGATATAATAACCTACATAGAAGGCCCAAAAAAAACCCACCAAAATACTTGTAGACTTAATTGACACTTTTAGCAGAGTAGCTGGATACAAGGTCAACACTAAAAAATCAGTAGCCTTCTTGTACACAAGTAACAGAATCACTGAGAGAGAAAGGGAAACAATCCCTTTCACAATAGCATCCACAAAAATGAAATATCTAGAAATCAATCTAACAAAGGAAGTAAAAGACCCCTACATTGAGAGCTACAACACTGAAAAAAGAGATCAAAGAGGATATAAAAAAATGAAAAGACATCCCCTGTTCTTGGGTAGAAAGAACCAATATAGTGAAAATGGCCATATTTCCAAAACTGCTATACAGATTAAATGCAATCCTGATTAAATCCCAACAGTACACTTTACTGAACTAGAGAAAACAATCCAAAAATTCATTTGGAACCAGAAGAGCGCTAGAACAGCAAAAGCCTTTCTGGGCAACAGAGACATGACAGGGGGTATCACAATCCCCAACTTGAAAGTATACTACAAAGTCACTGTGATAAAAACAGCATGGTACTAGGAAAGAAAAAGACCTGAAATTGTTAGAACAGATTAGAAGATGCTGAAACAACTCCAGACATAATCAGCAACATCATCTTTGACAAAGGAGCCAAACACCCTCACTGGAGGAAAGATAGCCTCTTTAACAAATGGTGCTGGAAAAACTGGGTTTCAACTTGCTAAAGATTAAAATCAGGCCCCTATCTTTCACCATGCACTAAACTAAAATCATTGTGGATTAAAGATATAAATATTAATACAGAAACACTAAACTTGCTAGAAGATAAGTTAGGTGGAACTCTTGAAGACACTAGCATAGGAAAAGACTTTATGAACAAATCCTCAGTAGCACGGGAACAAGTGCAATGAATCAACAGGTGGGATCTCATCTTTTTAAAAAGCTTCTGCACTGCAAGAAAAACCATCAATATATCTAAGAGACAACCCAAAATGTGGGAAAAAGTTTTTCCCAGCTACTCCTCAGACAAAGGTCTACTATTTAGAATATATAATGAATTTTAAAAAGTCAGACCCCCCCCAAATTAAAAAGCCCAATTCCGAAGTGGGCATCTGAAATGAACAGACATTTCTTAGACAAACAAGTAAAAACAGCAAATAAATATATGAAAAAATGTTCAACATCTCTACTGGTCATTTTAGAGATGCAGATGAAAACAACACTGAGATTCCACCTCACCCCACAGAGAATAGCTGCTTTCAAGAAATCAATCAATAACAAATGCTGGCAGGGTTGTTGGAAGAAAGGAACCCTTCTCCATCATTGGTGGAAGTTCAGACTGGTGCAACCACTGTGTAAATCAGTTTGGTGAGAGCTTAAACAATTAGGATTAGAAGTCCCATTTAACCCAGCTATTCCTCTGCTTGCTGGGTATGTTTCTTCTTTTTTCTTTTCTTTTTTGGTACCAGGGACGGATCTTGGGTCTTTGTGCTTGCGAGGCAGGCGGCAGAACCACTGAGCTAAATCACTGTCCCTTCTGCTGGGTGTCTTCCCCAAAGAATTAAAAAATCATACCACAGTCATATATGTGCACCCATGTTTGTAGCAGCCCAGTTTGTAATAGCTAAAACTTGGAAACATCCCATTTGCCCATCAACTGGAAACTCAATAAAGAATATTTTTTTTTATAAAATGGAATACTACTGAGCCATAAAGAATGAGAAAGTAGAGACATTTATAGATAAGTGGATGTACATTGAGGACATACTCTTAAGTGAAATTAATAGGACACGTGTAAATACTGAATAGTTTCTCTGGTGTAATAAACTAAAAGTGGCAGTAAGGACCAAAATGTATAACTGATATTGTGTAATAGGAGAAAAGGTCTAAAGGTGTAGGGAAAGTGGTAGGGGTAGGAGGAAGGAAAGAAGGGAAAAGAAAAAATAAGAGAAAAGATAAAAAATTGGAAACAAAGTACAAATAGGGAAGGGTGGAGGGGTGAAGGAAGCCTAGTGAATGGGGAAAAATAAGAACCAAGATACATCATGTAAAGGTACAAGATCCCAGTGATGAATGTAACTGTACTATATATGTAAAATGTACCAATAAAGAAAAAAAAGTATATTGAATGAAATAGTGTACAGGTGGCCCTCAAAAGGGAGAGATACTGATTCATCTATCTCTCTTAAAAAAATCTGTCTAGACTCTTGGTATAACAAAACACCATAGACTAGGTAGATTAAGCAATAGGAATTTATTTCCTCTTGTATTCTGGGGTTTGGATGTGAGAATCAAGATGACTGAATATTTGATTCGTAGTGCGGGCCTGTGTTCCTGCTTTGAGACAGCTTCCTTATTTTTCTGTCCTTATATGTTGGAGAGAGTAAGCTCTGGTATCACTTGGTCTCTTTACAAGACACTAATCCTATCATGCACCTTTATGCTCATGATTTCATCCAAACTTTATTGTATCTCAGATGCTCCACCTCTTCCTACCATTACTATTGAGGGTTAGGCTGCTAACATAAGAACTTCAGAGGAACAAAAATGCACTTTTCTGTGTGACTTTTTCAATCTTCTATGCTACTGCATAGGGGGAGTAATTTCTCTTCTGGTCAATGACTTTAGCCATGGACGTGTATATTTGCTTTGGGAAACGGTACCTTAGCAGCACTAGCATAGTAGAATTATGTGTATATTTATTTTATTTTATTTTTTGCAGTGCTTGGATTGAATGGCTTTACACCTTCTACACAAGTGACCACTGACCTACATCCCCTGCACAACATGGTAGAATTTAAAATGTTCTTCAGCCACAGACCTACATTCTTGAACTTTTCCAGTTGCCTTTAGAAGAATATTATACAGCTTTACTTCAGGTACTGGATGGAAAAGTGGGAAAGAGTAGAGCGCATTAGTCCTGGCTTTACCTGTAGAAGCACCCAAATGAATCTCTGCAGGGAGAAAGAGATGCCAAGACAGGATATACCAAAATGGTTAGCTCTAGAAAATCCAAATATATAAACATTCAGAGCAAAAATACTTAGCAGTTTATTTTGTAGCAACAATCAGTCACAACAGTCTTCCTGTTAAAGGCCTAGCTTCTGTTTCACCATGGAAATACGAAATATTTTTCATATTTTTTTATATTTCCTTTCAAGTCCATTATCGAAGGAATTGGCTTTGGGGTTATTACTTTGAGTGCTTTTGCATTACATTTTTTGAATGGTAGATAGGAAAGGAACTAAAATTTGAGTTGTAATTTTGCATGTAGCTAGTTTACTGAGCTTTCTTTTCAACTTTTATTTTTTTATTAGTATATGTCTGGAATGTAATGACTGTATTCCTTATGCATATTTGTTATGTGGATATACACCTTTATTTTGCCACTTTCCTTAAACTCTTGCACCCCTCATACTGTCCCCTTTCCATTTGCAAAATAACTATCTCCTTATTTCTTATATCTATATTTTATACTGCTCTTTTTTATATTTTTGGTTTCTTATATAAATGAATGCACTCAATATTTAAGCTTTTGTGTCTAATTCATTTCACTTAAAATTATGGTGTCAGTTCATCCTCTTTGCTACAAATAACTTGTTTATCTTTCTTTTCAACAAAGTAGCACTCTATTGAGTATAAATGCCACACATTTCTTATATATTCATCTGTTAATGGAGATAAAGGCAGACCATTTCAAAGAATGATCGATTTTTGGCTTTCTGAGGCAAGTTTTCACTGTGTAGTTCAGGCTGGATTTGAACTCACTATGTAGCTCAGGATGGCCTTGAATTCATGGTGATCCTGATGACTCAGACTCCCCACATTTCATATAGGAGTGTGTCACCCTCCTGGTTCCAAGGTTTATTTTTGCTTCTTTTTCATGGAACGTTTATTCTAATTTATTTACTTTATTAGTACACATAGTATATAATATTTGCATTAATTGTGTAGAGATATTACTTGTAGAGAACAAATTTTAATACTTTTTTAGTCCCTTCTTCCCCTCTCCCCCATATCCATCTCTCAACCCTTATCCAATTTGAAAAAAACGCCCTACTTCCTATTATCTTTAATTTTGCTCTTTATTTATAATATAGGTTTCTCATGTAAGAGAAAACATTCAATATTTAATTTTGTGTGTCCAATTTAATTCACTTAACATTATGGTCTTAAGGTATATTCATTTTCCTACAAATAACTTGTTTATCCTTCTTTATGTCTGAGTACTACTCCACTAATGTAAATACCACCTGGTTTTCTACATCAATTCATCTGTCATTGGATATATAGGCCACTTCCAACATTTTGCTTTTATGAACTGTGTTGCTATAAACATGGTATTTATACATATTGTAATATAGAGCCTTTAATATTTTGAGGAAAATTCCTAGAATAGAAACAGCTGGGTAAAAGAAATTTCTCTTTTGAGTTTTTTGAGAATTCTTCACACTGCTTTCCATAGTGGTTGAACAAGTTTACATTCCTACCAGTAATGTAGGGTTCCTCTTTTCCCTGTAACCTTGTAGCTTTTGATATTATTTGATTTTTTTTGTTGTTGTCATTCTTTCTGAAGTACTCATCTTTTTGTTTGTTTTGGTACCAGGGATCGAACTCAGGAACTTGTGCTTGCGAGGGAAGTGGCAGAACCATTGAGCTAAATCCCTGGCATCCAGGTAAAGGCTATGTCCTCCTCAAGTCCAGCCATTGCCCTAGAGCCCATGACAATGTCTTATGCTTGTCCTCATTGAAGATCTGCACCTGGAAGGCCCAAAGGCCAGGGGTGTAAGCCAGAAAAATCCACGCTCATGAGCTGAAAGTTCTGTGCCACCAAGCTGAGGGATCCACATTAGAGCCAGAAAGTCATGCTCATGGTAAAGATCAGAGCTCCCCTGATGAAAGCAGCAGCCATTCCCAGTGACAGCAAGGCCCTGAGCTCCCCCTGAAATGAGAACAGCCTAGTTCGCATCAGGAAAACCATCCACAGCGAACTTCTCCTAGAAAATCAACAGGCCAAGATCTTCCCTTCTAGTTCTCTTTTTATAGCTATTGGTAACAATCTTCAGGTGGATCCTCCATGCCCAGACCACTCTGATTCGGTTCAGCTGGGTGTTACAAGTTGCATTAATCAACCCACTACAGTGAGAGATACAGCACATAGGAAAAAACTCTGAAATCAGACTGTCTCAGTTAACATCTGAGCTCCACTCTATGATAACTCTATGATACTTGGCAAATTTTTAAGAACAGTGGCCCCTTTGCATCCAAGGGTAAAATCTGCATGTACTGAAGTCCCTTACATCAAAATGTATAGTTATACATAACTTATGTACCTCCTCCTACATACTTTAAATCATCACTAGATTACTTATAGTACCTAAGGCAATGTAAATGCTATTAAAACACTGTTACACTATATTGTTGAAACAGCAATAACAAAAACAAGTTCGTATATGTTTGCTACAGAGATGGTTGTTTTTCAGATATCTTCAGTCTGCTGTTGGTTAAATCTGGGACATGAGACCTGGAAATATAAACCTTTAAAGCTACAGATAGTTTCTATAAAATTCAATTAGATTCATTCATAGGAAAATGGATACTTTTTTTTTACATTTTTAATTTTTATTATTGCAGACCGATGATAGTAATGGCTTTCATTCTGGCATTTTCATTCCTTTTTTTTTTTAGCTTTAATTGAGTTTATTGGTACATTTTAGGGATACAGTACAGTTACATTCATTGTTGGGATCTTGTACCTCTACATGACAAGTCTTGGTTCTCATTTTTTCCCCTTGTCCCTGCCCTCCCTTCACCCCCTCCTCCCCTCTCCATCTACTCCTAAGTGAAATAAATAAGTCACACAAGTGTAAATACCGAATAGTTTCTCTGGTGTGAACAAACTATAATAGTACATAAGATCCTAATGAGATAATTGACAATGTGAAATAGCAAGAAAAGGGCTAAAGGTGTAGGGAAAGTGGGAAGGGTAGGGGAAAGATAATAAGGGAAAAGAAAAAAATATGAGAAAATGAAAAAATGGAAATAGAGTGTAAATGGGGAAGGGGGGGTGAAGGGAGGGCAGGGACAAAGGGAAAAAATAAGAACCAAGACCTGTCATGTAAAAGTACGAGATCCCAATAATGAATGTAACTTGACTGTATATGTAAAAGTACCAATAAACTCAATATAAATGAATAAATAAAGCAAGCTACAGATAGTGATACACACAGATTCTCCTCCTGACTTTCACTCAGAACCCTTAATTAAGACACAGTATTAGGTTCTGACTGCTGCCCTACCAGCACTCCCTCTTGGTAAAGAAGCAGCAAGAACAGCTGAGGCCTTGTGCCCTCTAACAGCAGTCAGGGTTGCAAATTTGTGAGTGTGTGTGAGTGTGTGTGAGTGTGTGTGTGTGTGTGTGTGTGTGTGTGTGTGTGTAGGGGTGGTGAGATCAGAAAATAATGGGTAAAGGACAAAGGTTTAAAGAAACTAAATAAACCAATAAACTAAAGGCAAGGTGAGATAAGCCTTGAAGGAAACTGCAGCTGCAGAAGACAAACAATTGATGAAATCCACAAGTGAGGGGAAGCCTGCAGAGGTGTTGCACACTAGATAAGCTTTTAGATGTAGGTGCTTCATTGCCCCCCCATTTAGTAAAGGTGCTCACTGTTCTTTCTCATAAACCACACCTGGTCATTCCTCACTGCTTGCCATTTTGTCACATTCTTCTGTGGTCGCCTTAGGACAGGGATGAGAAAAGGATCTGGTTACAATAGGTTTGGAGGACTACTGGTGGTACACCTTCCGTGAAGCTCTTGTAGAATTTCACAGTGAATCCGTCATAACCATAGCATTTTGTTGGTACTTTATGTATTATTATCATTGCCTCATTTTCATTGTCTATTATTAGGTTATTATTCTTTCTAAGATCTTGGTTCAGTTTTACTAATTCATACATTATCTAGGAATCTATCCAGTTCTTCTTAATTCTCTAATTTACTGGCATACAGTTTTGAGAAGTAGTTGCTATTGATATTCTATATTTTGGAAGCATTTGTTATTGTTTGTACTTTTAAACTTCTAATTTCATTGATTTATGTTATTTCTTACCTCTTTTGGTAAGATTGGCTAAGGGTTTGTCTGCTCTGTTTATTCTTTCATAGAAGCAGCTCTTTCATTCATTCATTCTGTGGGGTTTTTGTCCCAATTTTACTAATTACTGTTCTGATCTTGATAATTTCCTGCCTTTTTTTGAGCTTTGCTTTGAGCTGTTTCCATTTTCCTGGGACCATGAGTAGCATCATAATGTATTTCTTTGCACTTGCTCTGTTTTTCCAGTGTGGGCATTGACAGATATAAACTTACCTCTTAGGATTGGTTTTCATTGTGTCCCTTACATTCTAGTACTGGTCTGTTGTACTAGAATTCTATTTAATTTTAAGCTCTGTTTAATTTCTTCATTGATTTCTTCTGTGGTCTATTAATTATTCAACATTATATTGTTTAATTTCTGTATTTGCATAATTTAGATGGTTTATTTTGCCATTGATGTCTAGTTTGATTGTGCTATGACCTGGTAATTTGCATAGTATGATTTTGATTCTTTTGGTTTTAAGTATACTTTATTGTCTAATATGTAGTCCATTTGGGGGAAGATTCCATTTACTGCTGAGAATGTGTTTTCTACATCTACTTATTCAAAGTTTGATTTCATTTGATTCACTCTACCATGGAGGATCTGGTTCAACTCTGATATTTCCTTGTTGATTTTTTTTCCAAAGATTTTTTTTCCCAAAAATTTATTTGTGACATTGGTATATGGAAATTCTCCAGTATAATTGTGTTGATGTTTAGATAATGTTTTTAGTCTATGAGTTTTTGTTTTATGATGTTGTGTGCCCACTAATGTTCAGTGCATATGTTTGTAATTGTTTATGTTTAAATGTTGCCTTAACCAATCTATAGTGACCTTCTTTGCCTCTTCTGATCAATTTTGCATTAACATTCACTTTGGGTGACCATAGGATAGCTATTCTTGCTTGTTTTGGTATTCCCTTTGGATGGAATATTGTTTTTTTTCATCCTTTGATTTTTTTTTTTTAGTGTATCAATTTCTTTTTGGATCAAATGTGTTTCTTGTATAGAGCAAATCATTGCATTTTTTTCTTGATACATTCTGCCAATCAGTGTCTTTTGATTGGGGAATTGAGACTTTATATTGAGAGTTATTTTTGAAAGTTATTGCTTTATTTAGGTCATGGCATTAATTTCCTTTTGCTGTTGCCTTTCTTGCCTATTTTGGTGTTAATTCCACCTGTTTTATTCATTCTACTGTGCCTTTTGCCATTGTTTTGTCTCTTTGTATGATAGTCTTGTTAATTTATTTGAGTTCTAGTTTGGTGGTCATGAATTTCTTTATGTACTCATTATAATGGAAATATATTATTTATCCATGGATTTTAAAGGATAGTTTTGCAGGATTTATCAGTCTTGGTTTGAAGTGTTTGCTCTCAGGACTTTAAATACTTCATCCCAAAATCTCCTAGCCTTCATGTTTTGTGTTGAGAAGTCTACTGTTATTCTAATTTGTTTGACTTTATTAGTGATAGTTTGCTGTTTTCTAACAATATTTAAAATTCTGGTCTTGTGTTGGACTGCTGAGATTTTGACTATGATGTGGTTTTTAGAAGTTCTATGTTCCTCACTTATCTTTCCCCACATTTGGAAATTTTTCTTTTATTATTTCTGTGAACAGGGTGTTATGCTATTCATGTCATCTTCTAACTTTTCACTAATTCCAGATAATCTTAAATTATTCTTTTTACCTTGTCTACTAGGTTTTGACTCAATTTTTAAAATTTTCCCTTGTTTTTAAAGTATTTCTCAATAATCTGTCATTGACAAGTTTTCATATCTTCTAGTTTAGACAATTTGTCTTCACATTCTGATGCCAAAACTTTCAAAAGAATTTTTATTCTGGAGAATTTCTGTACCTTTCCATGGAATCTAATTATTTTCTACACTGGAAAATGATGTTTTGTATCATTTTGTTTAGCCTTGCTAGCTTTTTATTGGTTCTTCTGTAGTCTCACTGGTCATTTTTATGTCTATTATCTTTTTAGTTATATCTGTTTTTTTGTTTGTTTGTTTATTTTTTGTTTTGTTTTGTTTTGTGGTACGAGGGTTGAACTCAGGACCTTGCACTTGTGCGGCAGGTGGTGGTACCACTGAGTTAAATCCCCAGCCCTAGTTATATCTGTTTTTTGAAATCACCAAGCACCTTATTGACCCCTCTCCTTTTAAAAAAATCTCTTCTGTAATCCTTTGGAATAATTCACCTGCTTTTGTTTTGTTTTTTTGCTACATGTATTCTTCATTCCATGCTCTCCTGACATTAGAGGTTTGGGTTAAAAGTCTGCTGCATTCTAATGGATTTAGCTTTACAAGGGATTTGTTGCTGTTTCTCTAACAGCTTTTATCATTCTATTGTGTTGGAAATCTGGGATTTTGCCTGTGATCTGTTAATGAGAAGTTCATTTCTTGTCGTGCTTTTTAGGAATTTCACATGTCTCATTTGTCTGTATATTAAATTCTCCTTCCATATTTGGAACATTTTCAGGTATTATTTTTGTGAATCATTTTGTAAAATGCTATTTGTTCAATCTGCTTTTTCACT